CTCCTACAAAACATGAGCAATTCTGTACAGACAACCGCCTCTTGACCAGAACCTTGTCACACGTAACAAAATTCAACGGAAAATCGAAAGAAAAAGAAACGCCGCGGCCCCAAAAATTATCAACATATCTCTCCCTCTATCTTCATATCGATGTCTTTGCGGTTTGCGGACACAAACTGGCCCCTCGTCCCCTCGCCACCCACTAGGAGCCCTCGGAGCCGAGTAGTTTATCGCAATCGTCCCCACCACAATCGTCGACTATCGAAGGCTCGCCCGAGCGCGTCACACATCGTGTGTGGACCCGACCGCGACTCGGCCTCGCAATTCACACAGCCGAACCGAACCCAGCACGCGTTACGTATTAACTGCCCGTGGCGACGGCAGTGGGAATGGGACGCATCCGCAACCTGTGCATCATCTGCTTAACCGGCTTCACCCAGTCCCAGAATCCGTGCCAGGCCAGAATGCTGCTGTGGTCATTTGTCCCAGTGTGTTGCATGTCGCATAGCTGGAGCACTCCTCGCCCCGAGCGTGGAAGTGCCGCCTCAGCCGCGCGTCCGCGCCGCGGCCCGCGAACCGCGGTTTTGTCTCCGTGGGTTTGTCGCGGCCGCGAATGGCGGCAGAGCTGTGCCGGCGGACGCGCGCACTGCGGCCTCGCGAGCGGCTCCGGGAAGACGAATACGAGCTCCGCTACTGACACGACACTTTCGCCCCGGCCGCCCTCGCTAGAGTCCCTCGCGAGCCGCGTCCTGCCCGCGGTCCGACCGGCCCCCGACCGCCGCGGGCTCGGCGCCCTCACCGACTCCGAGTGCGGCCGGCAGACAGTCCTGCCGCCGCGGCCGCCGCGAGACGGAGGGAACGAGGAGTGCTGTACAGAGCGGCAGCCTACAGCAGCCACCGGCAGCCACAGCGGCCCGGCAGCGCGACGTGCGTGGCGAGCGCGGCCCCGGCACTAGGCGACCAGGCGCCCACCTCACAGGGGGCCCCGAGCAGACGCTCTGCTCTCACCACCTGCTGCTGCCGCTGAGGAGCCTCTTCGCGCAAGGTGAGCTCGCGGGGCGCCCGCGTTTACATCCCCCCGGAAGCCCAACCTCGCCCCGCCGTACCCCGCCGCCCCAGCGCGGGTCCCTCCCCTCAGCCTAGTCGACTTTTTGCTCGGGTGCCCCGCGTCGCGATACTGTTGCTGTGTGTTGTGGCCTTCGCGTATCATCGTCGTCTTTTTAACGGCCGCGAGATAGCGCGGAGCACACGCGAGTGCCATGGCGGGCGCACGCGGGCGCGGGGCGGGCGGCGCGCGGCCGCACCGGCCAGCCCCCCGAGAAGGGTGGTCCTCTTCTCCAGGAATGCAGCCGCGGCGCGGGGCGTGGCGGCGTGTGGCGTGGTCCCCTTGTCTGGCCGCCTTCTCTCGCAGCAGCCAAGCACCGGATCAATCCGTTGGCGGCGCGGGTTTCGACTCTAGCCGGATGCCGCGCCGTTGCATGTGCGCTCACTTTACTTGTCTTCCCTCTCCGTCCCGCCCGCCCCCGCC